TTCTCACCCCATAGTTTGAGTTCGATAACCATTTACTTAACCACATTACTTAAATATGATTATTAAGTTCAACTAATTCATATTATTAAAACATCTAAAATACAAATATGTATTTTTAAAATTAATTGTAAGTTCATCTCATCTCTCTTAAAATTGCTACCTCTCAAAATTTCCCATTAAAAAATAGCCATATACCATATAAAATTAAATAATTGAAAGATCGGACTACGGAAAACCACACAAATTTTCGGAAAACTTTTGACCACCTGCACATGCACACAATCGTCAATAAATAAAATTAAAAAATAACTACTATTTTAGTATTTTAACTATTTTAATAAACGCAAAAATAGCACAGTATTTATACGGCAAAGTTATAAAAATTTGGAAGAACTAATAATGCACTGACGCATACAAAAATCAAACGAATACTAAATTTCATTTTCAAAAGCATTCGATAGTCGTGGCTCAACGATAACCATTTAGTCGCACGGCGAGGTTGTCACATATGCTTTAGTATACAAATGAATGAATGATTTTATTCGAATAAAACCATTCGATAGTTGAAATCATTCATTCATTAACCATTCGATAGTCTAATTCATTCGATAGTTCCCATCGCTAATAAAAACTGTTTACTACTTATTTCCATTTAATAATTAATAAATATTTAAGAATGACCGATAAGCAATTTAGATTTCACTACAATTTGTAGTTTTGATTCAGATCGCAGATGTCATTTTTACTACAATGGAACTTATTTTACTACAATCTTTAAGGAATTATTACTTTATATGCAGTTTATAACCTTAAATACTTCCACATTAAAACCTTCTACAAAATTATGAACTGCTTCTGCAACTTTCTAACTACAAAAAATAGTAAATACAGTTACAACTTGTATTTGGCTCATATTACCATATACCACTATAATTTGCAACAAAGGATTTTACAATTGTGACATTATTAACAATTTTTCTTCCGTTATACATGTCTCATCTCGTTCTTCTTTTAGGCTTCAAAGTTTTGACAAGCAGGCTGTATTCAAGGACTGTATTATGTCGAACAGGCACAGTCGGCCTGAACTATCCGAGATATCTGCACAAGTCAAGTTTGCACAGGCGGCCTGAGCAATAAAACTGAGCGTCTGCAGGGACCTTTACGCACAATTTGAAGAGAATAGCAACTATAATAGAAGTTTAGAAGAATGCATAATAGAAGAGCTACATAGATTCACGAGCAAAGTTTGGTAAGTATTAAATTTCTGTCATAAAATTCTGTTGCGGCTGTCACGTTAACTTGAAGGTAATAGCATTTGGAGAATATAAGAGCAGCTGTTACGAGTTCACTTGTGGCATTTCTTAGTTGTCAATATTACACGAATATCTTTGATTTACTTAGAATTTCTAAAACACATTTATTTTTTGATTTTTTCACACTGGTGGGATGCAGATATAACATTGATTCGGACAATGCCAAAATAATATTTACCTGTTAAAAATAATGATTTTAAAAACTTACCAAATTTCTTGTGATTAAAATTAAATCTGATAATTAATCAGTTAGTGTTTTTTTTTATTGCCCAATTAGCCAGACATCGAATAACATTCTGTATTTTATAGGCAATTATATTGGAATAGACGGGAATAGAGCGTTTGATGGTCTTTCAGCACGGTTATTTTATAGCCATATCTTTAACCTCTCCGTCCCGACAGTAGAATATCGCCTGGGGAATTTTATTACCGACATATTTTAACTTCCAACGTTTAACTACAATTCCTAATGTTCCCTCTTCTAAAGCTTCTCCACTAATTTCTGTTAAATGTACAATTTTCAATGCATTGTGTGCCCGTTTGAACTCGCTATAGGTTTAGAGAACTAAACGGTCTAATACTTTTCAGGTTTCAGACGTTTACTGCCATTTAGGGTTTTGCTTACTAAGCAATTAGGGTTATAATAAATGTTGCTCTCATGGATGTTGCGTTAATTTGAAGTTAGAATCGTAATTGTGGACAAAATAAGAGCTACAGTACCTTTTTAACTACTTGCGTAATTTTATATTTGTCCATTATTATAAATTTTTATAAATATTTTCTCTGTTTAAATAAATAAATAAATGCCTTTATTGTCAAAAAATTTTTCACTTTGTAGACCAAGGTAAACTAACAAACAAAGTAGAAAAAAAATAAGGTACACAAACAAACAAACAAAAGATAATACAAAACTTATATAAATAATATTGTCAGTCTTATTGTTAAAATAAACATTTATAAATGTTTACAATGTCAAAGAACAAAAAAGTTAAAATAATATTCAAAAATATTTAGCCAGTTTATAGCAAAATATCAATGACCTCTAAATAAATCAATTTCGATGTCATTAGTAAATATAGCAATATCATTAGACCAGTGTTTTCAAGATCAAATACGATTTTCAATTCAAATATAATTCATTTACGGCGTAGAAAGCCTTGTCTAGTAAATACGAGTTCAATGCTTTGCGAAATGAAAAAAATGATGTTATGGATTTGATTTCAAATGGCAGGTGATTGTGCATTTTTTTCGAGTTGTATAATATTGAACTTTTAGCTAACTCTGAGCGTGGGGTAGGTAGATAAAGATCTTGCTCCGCGTTCCTGAGTGGATAAGTGTGAGATGGCCTTTCTTGAGAAGCTGATACATGTTTACGTATTAGGCAAATGGATTCAAATATAAATAAGGAGGGAAGAGTCTTTAAAAAAGTCCCGGCAATGAGTTCTGCTGTTTAGTCCTAGTGAATATCGAACAGCTCTCTTCTGGAGCTTGAAAATGCGGTCAAATTGAGTCGCACAACACGTACCCCAGAATGGAAGGGCATACCTGAGGTGCGACTCAAAAAGTGCATAATAAACAGCTCTAGCCACTGACAAGTTAAGGTCCTTAGAAACAGACCTTAATGCAAAACAGACAGAGCTCAATTTTTTCGACAAAGCTTCGATATGTATGTCCCATTTCAGAGAATTGTCCACAACAAGCCCTAAGAATTTTACAGATTTTACGACGTCAATGGTGGTGTTGTTAAGTCTGCAACGAGTTTTTATACGACAAAGCTTTAGTTTTAGAAATGTTGAGACTCAGGAGGTTCGAATCGCACCAAGATTTAATGGTGATTAAGTCATTTGATATAATCCTATGAAGTGCCGTGATGTCCTTGTTGCTCCAAGTGAAGCTAGTGTCGTCCGCAAAAAGACATATTTTGCCACTGATGTTTATGTTAGCAATGTCGTTAATAAAAGGAGAAAGAAAAGAGGGCCTAGTACTGAGCCTTGTGGTACTCCATATTCTATTGGCTTGCTAGAATTCAACGTAGTATCCACCCTCACAAGTTGACTTCTGTTGCTCAGATACGACTTAAACCATTCGAGAGATGATCCCCTGAACCCATAGTGCTGCAGTTTATTAATTAAGATCTTATGATTTACACAATCGAACGCCTTAGAAAAATCACAGAAAATTGTTGCTGTAGAATGATGGTTGTTTAGGCTGGAGTAAACTTTATTAAGGAGGGAAAACATAGCGTCATTTGTGGACTTGTTGCTTAGAAATCCAAATTGATATTCAGTAAGTATTTTGTACTTAAACAGAAAAGATACCTGCCTTATTTTAACCAACCTTTCTATGATCTTAGATAGCGTTGGAAGGAGTGCAATTGGGCGATAGTTAGAAGTTTATTCTGTATTATTGTCACGATTTTTTTCTCTTTTCAAACGTTCACTGGCACTTTGTGATTTGCTTATTAAATAATTAGAGACAGAGAAAATGTCGCTTTTACGGCTGTCACGTTAACTTGAAGGTAATAGCTTTTGGAGAATATAAGAGCAGCTGCTAGGAGTTCACTTGTGGAATTTCTTAGTTGTCAATATTGAGTATAAATTGGTTCACACAGTATTTTTCTAATGATATAGGTATATTTAAACAGTTAATACCGTTCTAAACTGTGTCACACCATTTTTGGGAGTTATTGCTATCTAAGACTGTAAGCAGATAAAATTAGAAATAATAGAACATAAATTAGAAGGAAAAAAAAAGTACGGAAATCCGCTATTGATCGAAAAAATGCTGAACAAGAAGGAATAATATAATAAATAACTGCTAAATATTTATAAACGAATTTCGTTCAGAAATCTGAGAGTGTATCGCTATTTTTCTAAAATGTCGTCGCCAATAAACAATTACTGCCAGAAAAAAATGTTGTTAAAGAAGAAAATCTCGTAGATATAGTTTTTCTTTTAGACAAATTATTTTATTGGCGTGGAGAGAATAATTAAAGATCCGCAATATTCGATATTTAAATTGTGAATTTGAAATCACAGGTTAATTAAACCAAATGACCAAAATTTCACCTTCATGCAATGTTATATCTTTAATTTTGTTAATGAATTCAATATTATTTTTAACTGAGAAAGAAGGTTCATGATCAGATAAATTTTCGAACTCCCTTGATAACCATTTTGCCAAATTATAAGTCGGAGAACCTACAGCCGAAACAATTGGGCGCATAGACTTGTCCGGTTTATGAATTTTTGGCAAAGCATACAATTTTGGTAATGAGGGATTGGATACTTGCAATTTCCTCTTTAAAGAAAGATCAATAAGGGTGTTACATTCTTTTACAGTTTTTTAACGTCTGCTACCGTCTTAGACAAAGGATTCTTTTTCAAATTTATGTAGGGGCCATTATCGATTATATTATCGAAATATGCTATAATATACAGGGGTTTCTATTTAAAAAAATGAAACTTTGATGTGCCACGACTTTATGACCGACCCTGTATACGTAAATTTATTACACGCCAATAGACATTTAAAAGCGCTATAATTTCTGTATTTAACTTTTTGCGGTACCATGTATATTTTACCTAATAATCGATCGTTTCCATACATAAAAGCAACCCTGTATTATCTTAAAGGCGAATAATGGCTTTAATAAAAGTGTCGAGAACAATCTGTCACAAAACTTACCGTTCTATTGGCTAAGTTTTTTACTCTGCAATTTAAGTAGGCTGTTTTTCCGAGCAGCGCCGTAACGTTTTTAGAAGCTGCTGCGTCAAAGTGGGGTCCTCTGGTTGTGGTCTCCACCAGTGAGTTGCCAGCTCCTCCTCCACCAGATCCTTGTACAGCTGAAGAAACTAAAACAAATAGACCTCAAATTAGTTATCTTATTATTATACAGAGAAGAGCAGGCTACTAGTAACATAGCAAGTTGCCGGACGAATTTACGTTTACCCGTTTTGCGTTCGTACTCGAGATTCACTGCCGGCTAGTCGGCTGGTCAGGCAGTACGCAATTGCAGTTGCGCTTGGACGGGTCGGTCGTGACAGACTAGGAATACGACGCGGGGAGTGCCGAGTATTTATTATTTTCATTTAAAGTGTTTACCTTCACTTAAGGTAACATTTAAAATGAAAATACTTAAATATTTATTATTTGAGTGTGTTTACAAGCCAAAACTAAAAATAAATAAATTCTCTAAACCCAAAAAAAACTAAAATATTACTCTAAATAAAAAAAAGTTATAACAAGTGTTCAAAAAGACCATCTTCTTGTGTTAGACAGAAGCCTAGGCGGTCGTAAAATCCCCGTCTGACATTGGCTAACATAGTAGGGCTAATAGTTTGGAAAGCCTCTCGTATTTTTACTTGAAGCTCATCCAGATTATTAGCCCTATTATGACCATACACTTTGGATTTTACATAACCCCACAAAAAGAAATCATTGGGAGAAAGATCTGGTGATCTAGCGGGCCACAAAATAGTTCCATATCCACTAATTAAACGGTTGGGAAAAGTATTGTTCAAATATCCTTGAACAATACGGGCATTGTGCAGGGCAACCACCTCAGCAATTTGATTACTTGAAAACGTGGGATTTTGATCCGCGGTAGCACAGACGAACACTTGCTTTAACTCCTGTTCTTCATTAATCAACACATCAGGCTTTTTGTGTTTTTGTGGGGACACGTACCGATGTGTTTCAAAATTATTAATAACTTTTGATATAGTAGATAAAGATGGAATTGGCCTGTTTGCAAAAGTTTGTGGAAAAATTGTTTGTATATCATCTTAAACCGTAAAAAGTACCATCTTAAACCGTAACCTGGAACGGATGTGCTCCAACGATCTAAGACACTCGAAAAAGTTCCTCAGAACTTACGACCGAGAAAAATTAAAGTTTTTTTTTGATTTCAGTGAAAATTTCACACCTCTACTTTTCAACCAATAACATGCTTTAATGTTGACTAGTTACCATGGCAACTGAAAAAATTTCCGGAAATTTTTTCGAGGCGCCACGACACTTTAGTGGAAATTTTTTGACAGTTGAAAAGGTAAACATAAGATCTACAATCATAATGTGAATGAACTACAATGTCTATATATTGAAATATTACCCATTTGAGTTTTAGCATTTGATGTAACTAAGGTTGGTAATATTTTTTATTTAAGGAAATATGTTAGATATACCTACATATGAATTTCTTCGAAATTGCCATGTTCTAAAAAATATAGTTCTGCCGCCTTTATTTAACTAAAGCTGGTATTTTTCTATTTAACGAAATATGATGGATATATCTATATGATTTTTTTAGAATTTATTTCATGTTGAATTATCTTCAATGCCAAATCTTTAATGATATCGACTAATATAGCAAAATAATAACGAAACACATTTAGTAATTATAGGTTTTATTAATATTAAAAACACAATTATTGTAAATGTTTGTAGGCTGGCTTGAATTGGTGGTTTGAATCTGGGTATTTTCTGTTTTATTTTGCATTGTGCTCTGATCATGATTGAACTGGCTAGTACTTGATGAAATGCTCCTCATGGATTCAATCATCTGTTGATGATGTTCAGCGTCCAACTGTAAGTAAGGTTTGATCGACTGACTATTACTATGTCCAGTAATTTTAATGAGCTGTTGTTCACCAACTCCTTTCTTGGCCAAATTCGAAACAGCTGTTGCTCTTGCAGAATGATTGGTTATTTTAACTTTTTTAGTGTCAATTCCTATATCTGAAGCTGCTGATTTAAACCATGAAGATACAATGTTCTTACCAACTGGGCTATTCTTGTACCATCCTTTCGAATTGGGTTGATTCCAGTATGGGTTTGGTGTTAAGAATAGTCTGTCGGTTTGAATAAGATTTCCCCTTTTTTCCATCAACTTTCTAAACAAGCGAACCGGACACATTTGTGGATTTTCGAAATTTCTAATCAACCATTTACTATCCGACAGTTTTTTAGAACCACCTTGTGTGGTTTTAGAGAAAATTGGATTATATTCTATCCGACCTTTTGGGTTTCCGAAATTATCAGTTTCTTCTTTGAAGTATTGGATACAAGCAGAATGTCCTTCCCCTCCTCTCCATGCCAGCTCATGTGAAACTATGTGAAAAAATTTACGCTGCAACCCATCTGGAGTATTTTCATCCCACATTTCAATAATTTTTTTGTATTCGTCACTGGTTAAGGCTGAAGCACTCACTTTTCTTTTTGCTGAATCTCTCTGTAGTATTTTGCGCTTAGCATCGCGTGCAGCTCTGGCGGTCACAAATTCCACATCAGAAAACGGATTAAATTTTATTTTATATTTTTCGTAATAAATTTCTTGCAACTGCTTAGCAGTAGAGTTCCACATCACTTTGACCACACTTTCCTTATAATCTTCAAAATTTTTCTTTTTCATATTAAATGCGTAGTCCTCCAGTATAGTAGCCAGCTGTACTACACTCATACACTCATGAATATTATACGACTTTTCATCACAAAATTCAACAAACTGTTTCCATACACTTGATTTTGATTTTCGGGTGTTATCTGGTTTTATATTTTCAATTTCTTCTTTAATGACTTGTTGGTTTACTTTTCCAAATCGCGACATTTCGCTATACACTTCTTACTCTACGTACAGATGTTTTAAAACTAGTAATAGCTTAATGACAGACTTGCAAACAAAAATGACAAAACACATAATATGTCAAAAACATCAATACCTTGGCCAACTTAACAAATTGAAATTATTTTAAAATGTCATGTTGGATTAATATTTTTTGTTTCAAATTTAGGTGTGAAATTTTCTTACCGAATACCACGCAAGCTTAAATTATTCCTGGAAATTTTCTTTCGGGCACGAATATTTTAGGAAAATTATCCCTCGTCTTCGACTCGGGATAATTTTCAAAATATTCGTGCCCTCAAAAAAATTTCCGAAAATAATTTAAGCTCTTGTGATATTATAAGTGAAAACAATCTTCGGATTGCCAAGGGGTTTCTAACAGGACACTGTCTCCTCAGCAAACACCTCAGTAGGCTGAAGCTGAGAAACAACGGCGAATGCAGATTTTGTGGGGAAAATGGGGAAACACCAGAACACCTTATCACTGAGTGCGCCGAGACGACGACCATTCGTGCCATGAACCTTGGTACGTCTGATGTCGAGGATGGAGAGCTGGCCTCTGTGGAGCCGTCTCAGATACTGGCTTTTGTTATAACTCAAGAAAGTTGAACACACAATAGATCTGTAAGGTCGCGGTGATTGGCTGCCCTCCTAAATATTCTCCATTCTACAGGTAATATTCTGTTGACTTCCTTTAATTAAATGAACATTATAACAGTATTTATATTTTTAAAAATGTCTTTTCTATCAATCTATTTTATTTGATTTCTAAAAAACGACTTTCAATTTTGTGCGCAATAAAACTTCTTGTGAGTTTTATGGCACCCCAGGACTGCAGTAACTCAAAACTTCTTTTCACGGATCTATCGATTGACAGTTTGAAAAACGGTATTTGCAGTTTTCACTTTTACTCGAATTAATAACGGTTTCGATATAGCGTTTCTATCTTTTTACTGTTGAAATATATAGTGGAAGTTTTTAATGCGATTAAAATAGAAACTATAAATTGTATGTAATGTTTATTGCTACTAAAGTTTTGATAACTTAATACGGATATGTTAACGAAGCAAATAATTTAAAACTCATTTTATTATCTCGATAGTTTGTTTTTTGATTGATCTAAATAGCTTTATTTTTGTTGGAGATATTCGCTTTTGAAAAAGACAGTAACGATTTACAGCAATTTTAGCATTGATTTTGGGTCCTCATCAAAACACTTTTAAATAGTGTTTATTGTTTTTGTAATGTCACTGTCATTGAAGAGTCATATTATTATTGTTTACTAACGTTTACTCTAGTAGAGATGAGAATGTCCAGACAATAACGAATAAGAATTAATACCATAAAACAACAAAAAATGGGTATAGATGGCACACTAACACAGGATGTAGAGAAAGCAGCTGATCTGGTACGGATATGTAAAGCGAATGAAGGATACAAGATGGCCCAAGAAAATAATCAATTGGCAACCAAAGGACAGAAGAAATTAAGGAAGACCAAAACTGGAATGGCAAAAAAGCGTACACAAAGCGATGAGTGAAAGAAACCTGTCAACAGAGGATTGGTACGGATACCAAACCAAACCAAACAGGCTGGAAATTGGGTATCGGACAACGTAGAAAAACGTTTTAAACCGACTAATATATATACAGGGTGAGGAGTCTTGAATAAGTGCAAATATTTTTAAGGGTAGTATATTTCGACCCCAGAAACACGATTATGAGGGTCGTTTTCGTGAAAAAAAATCGAAAATTTGGAATTTTTTTTAGTTTTCAGTTAAGAAATATAATTTCTTGATAATATGGTAGGCAACATAGGTAGTAGATTAAATTTCCAAGAAAGTTACGTTAACTCGGTTATTTTGAACTTATTTGAAAAACGGCAAAGAGAAAATATGTTTCTGTTATTGAGATTTCACCCTGTATAGTTGCGAAATTGAACAGTTCAGCACCCTCCCCCCCCCCTAAAAGTGTCCTCGCTACGCCACTGTTCGCAACCGTTGTCTAAACATTTAAACATCATTCGCCAGAATCAAATTCGTTGTTTTCCTTTCCGCACCGATAAGCGAAAAGGACGGCCCGCACCAATTCCCCAATTTGACGTTTCTCTCCGTGAATTCGAAAACATTGTGGATGGGGAAGGGAAACCGGTCGGACATCACAACTCAATAAATGGAGGGTTTATTGCTTTCCGATAAGATTACCGAGAATGGACCCTTTTGTTCATTATCAATTCGATTGTCTGTCGGCTCCGGTCGCTGTATTGAACAAATACTTGAATATTTCTGAATAAGGGCGTGCAGAAGCTTTGGGTGGCAGTCTGCCAGCATTTGTCTTAAGCTAAATAATAAATGTTCATTATAGCGAGTGAAAATTAATTATACTGTTCTTAAAAGTGAATACAAAATATACACTTATGATTTTCTAAGCAACTTGTAGCTAAATTATTTTAAGAAATCTTTTTTTAGAATTCACTTGGAAATCGAAATCAAGAATTTACTTCGAAGTTAAAATTACAGACAACAGTCTCTGTCATGTACCTTTTTGTTGGACAGCCTTTGTTTCACCGTTAAAGTTCTGACATTGTTGTTCTACGCTATAGAGTAAGCTATTAAAGTTTTTTCTGCACAACTTTAAAACCAAAAAAACAAAAAAGTTACTTTCAGATATTTATCTTTAAATTAGCTATTTTAAGTATCGTTTTAAAGGAGTTAAGGAGTGAGTTTACACGAAGAAAATTTCGTTTATCGATTCGCAACGATGCAATATTCAGTTAACGTTGGACTAGGTGCAGCTAATTTCAGTAGCGACTGTAAACTCTATTTTAATTAAAAAGCTTAAATAGCTCATCCGAGGACGATGATGGGAACGCGCCAAAACGAGGAAAGCGGTTACAAAAACAGGAAAAAAGAACCGGAACCGGAAAAGCCACACGTATATTCGTGGAAAGTTTCGGATTAACTGGAAATTTTAAACGAGACGTTAACATTACACCGAACATAAAAAATAATTTGTTGCCAACGGAATTTGTCTAGCGAATATATAAAATAAACCTGAAGTTCCAGTGGATATTTTTAATAATATACCAGAAAAATGACAATATTTTTTTAATATTCCAATTATAATAAAAAAAATATATATAATTATACCATATGATCGAATAAAAGCGGCGTCAGCGATGGCTATGAAATGAAGATCGCTGTCATTTTATATGTAAATTTATATGGGAAATGTCATCGATTGTCATCGATCTAAGCCAACTGGATGCCGTTTTTTTTTCGATCATACGGTACTATATCCGTATTTTAGCACATTTTTAGTCAACTTCTTTATTTTTAAGATTTTAATCGTCAAACATCAACAAAATATTCCTTATGTTTGGACTAAATTTCCTCGAAAATAAAGACATAATTTAAAATTCCGTTACAATACGGAAATAGATTGAAGTTTTGTCATTACAGTGATATATAACTTATATGGCTTTGTAACAAATTTCTCGCTATTTTATGGCAAATGCTGAAGCTCTGCAAACCTTAATCAAGCCTTAATCAAAGCACGTATGTTTGGAATTTTGGGCTTGGCTTAACACGGCAGGATCGGGCAGATTTATGATCATTGGGAAACAACGATGTGCAAAAAAATCTCCGATCTATAATATTGAAGTCTTCTAGAAACTTCCAATGCGCGCTCAGCCTGGGACACCCTGTATAACGTTAATTTTCGTTTGGAAATATATATCTACCACAACATAAAATAACCCAACAAATATTTATTGAACAAATCCCTAGTGAACTAAATAACCGTTTCGTGATCAACCCTAATCCATTTTTATATATTGTGCATGGGTTGTGGTCGTAACTTGATAAAACTATGAAATAAATATACGTAACCTTTTGAGGTCGAATAAAAACGATTTAACAGAACAGAATAAAATTAAATTAGCCAGAACAAAACATTTAAGTTGCCAATAGCGAAATAATACATATTCTGTGTAATTCGATTTTGTTTTACATAAAACACTAAATTGCCTTTGAAATATTTACATAAACTAGTTATTTAAAAAGCATTTGTACGTAAAATTAATACAAAATAAAAAAGTTACAATGAACATTTTGTAAACAAATTAAATAAATCGTACATTGTTATTTGTCCTAGATAGATTTTTAATAAACTAATGTTTGTTGTTTAATTTTTAATTTAAATATCCAAATTACCTGTTGTTTTATTGACTTTTAATGCCTGATAATTTATTTAATGACATAAAATCGTTATTTATTAAACTGTGTATAAGTGTATTGTGCGATAATTTTTTAAACGAGATGTAATTAACGAAATATCATCGTAACAACAGCTATTTTAGAAACGTCTAGGTTTATTTATTTCACTTAAATTTATGAAAAAAAAGTCCTTTGCCTCGGGTACAGATACCGCCACGTTTTGGAAATAGCTAAAAAAAAACAACATTGAATTTGAATGAACATTGCTTTTAAGAATCGAAAGTAGGGCGAGGCAAACCGAAATGGGTCAAGACAACTGGAAATAAATTGAAATGCGACAAAATTGGGCAACGAAACGCGACTTTGATCTGCTTCGAAGAGTTCTCCGCATAGTGTAGAGGCTATTTAAAACTTGTCAGGGAATTGAATCTACAGTACTACCTGAGTCTGAAGACAATCTTATATTAAAGGATTTTAAATAATAAAATTAATAACCTTGTAAAAATTTATGTGTGTTCTAATGCAATCGGCCAAAAATCGCCTCTTCAATCTCATAATTCTGTGAAAGATCGCTTAGATCTGAATGCGAGAATAAATTTGAGGGTAACGAAGTTTCCTTTACCGAATATCAAATGGAGAGAAGAGCAATTATGCCAGTGAGACAAAGAGACGTGTGCTAAATGCATAGTTAACCGTCACTAATGTGTATTCAGTGTTTGTTTTTCGAACAAAGCGTAAGATATGTCCTAAAATGGTTTGCGTAGATGATCGTTAATTTTAAATAAATTTAGTATTTTAGTTAGGAGTATAAATAAATAAATAAATAAATAAATACCTTTATTGTCAAAAAGTTTTTCAATTTGTAGACAAAGGTAAACTAAAGAAACAAAGTAAACAATCAAGGTACACAAACAAAACATTATACAAATAATATTGTCAGTCGTATTGTTTAAAATAAACATTTATAAATGTTTACAATGCCAAAGAACAAAAAAATAAAAACAACATTCAAAAATATTTAGCAAGTTTATAGTAAATATCAATGACCTCTAAATAAATCTATTTCGATGTCATTAGTAAATATAGCAATAGCAAACATTAGACCAGTGTGTACAAGATCAAATTCGATTTTCAAAATATAATTCATTTACAGCGTAGAAAGCCTTGTCTAGTAAATAAGAGCTCAATGCTTTGCGAAATGAAGAAAATGATGTTATGGATTTGATTTCAAATGGCATTTTTTTCGAGTTGTATAATATTGAACTTTTAACTAACTCTGAGCGTGGGGTAGGTAGATAAAGTTCCTGAGTGGATAAGTGTGAGATGGCCTTTCTTGAGAAGCTGATACATGCTTACGTATTAGGCAAACGGATTCAAATATAAATAAGGAAGGAAGAGTCAATATTTTTAATTTTTTAAAAAAGTCCTGGCAATGAGTTCTGCTCTTTAGTCCCAGTGAATATCGAACAGCTCTCTTCTGGAGCTTGAAAATGCGGTCAAATTGAGTCGCACAACACGTATCCCAGAATGGAAGGGCATACCTGAGGTGTGACTCAAAAAGTGCATAATAAACAGTTCTAGCCACTGACAAGTTAAGCTCCTTAGAAACAGATCTTAATGCAAAACAAGCAGAGCTTTTTTTCGACAAAGCTTCGATATGTATGTCCCATTTCAGAGAATTGTCTACAACAAGCCCTAAGAATTTTACAGATTTTACGACGTCAATGGAGGTGTTGTTAAGTACAAAAGGCTGCAGCGAGTTTATATATGACACATTTGTTTATTTGTCAAATATTGAAATTTCTGAATTAAATACATTAAACATCAATATTTTGCTGAAAAATATTGAAACGGATGTAGATTCGTGTATACTAACAACTCTAAATAAGGATTTAACAGTAAAACGTTTTTAGTTTGTCAATATGAACAATATTAATTGCACAGACTACAGATTTGGTGGGAACTGTACAAAATAAACTATAGACTAACGAAATTATCTTTTATAAATTATGAAGGTGTAGTCTCCAAAAATCGCTATCGATTTGGTCTATAGATATGAACGATCCTCTTTAATTGATTATGGTAGAGATCAACTTTTGGACTTAAAACCATATCTGCCAGAGTAACTGACCAACAGACAAAAATAATATGATTTTTCAAAGATAGTGACATTAGATAAATCATAAACACTATTTTATAGGCCTATTGACTAAGACCAAAAGCAAATTCATGGCTTTAAAGAAAAAAATTCGAAAAAAAGTTAGTGTCTCCTTTAAAAACGAATATCTCCAAAAAAAGATAGAGCTATCGAGATGAATCAAAAAACAAACTATCGAGAATAGATATACTTAGATGATAAAGTGATTTTTAAATTCCTTGCTTTGTTAACGCTTTGTTAATTTTGTTTTTCCTCGTATAATTGCTGGCGTAAACCTCTGGACGAAGCCCACAATCCTGGGCGACTCTGGTTCTTGGCTGCAAATTGGGGCTTTAGGCTCCCGTTTGCTCCTTTTATTTTCCATCATAGATTTTCGTTTCTTCGTCACGTTTTTTTCCATCTCCTGGGATGCACACGGTGCCTCGTTGCATTGTTTGCTTCCTGGTTTTTTGTGTTTTGGGACCGGTTTTATCGCTTCTTGGTTCCTTACCGTACTGATGAGGCCTGAAGGCAGTAACATCAGTGTACACTAGTGTAGGTGTGGTTGTGTGAGAGTGTGAGTGTGCGTGTCTGCACTGGTGTATACGGTTGCGAGTTGTTGAGGGCTGAGCCGTTTAATCTTTTTCTTCTTTTTTTATACATTTTTAAAATACATGAAAATTTTAAGGTGCCCGTTTTTCGTGTCGGTCAGTGTGTATTAACTATACAAAATTATTGTCAAAGTTAAACCAATATGCTATTTTAGGAATTACTTTATTGAAGTACGGATTAATTAGTGTCATAACGACCTAATTATAATTAATATTAATAATATTATTATATCAGAATAGATTATAATATTTTGGCCGTGAACATTATTCGAGTTGAGCTTCATTCAGAACCATGCAATTAGTGGTTTCAATTATTACGTTTATAATTACAGTATTAAAAAAACTCTTTCTCTAATGATTATATC